ATTGCTCGGCCTGCTGCTAACAAAGTGTGTTCACTGTATCGTGTCAGATAATTTTTCTCGCTTGCATCTATCTTACATATTTATAAGTCTACCATTCGTCCATGATTTGTATATTGGCGCAACATCTAATCTGGTGCTTATATTTAGAGATTCTTGACGAAAACCAAAGAACAATTTGCAATGTTACTGGTCCTGACCTAGCATCACGACTTCAGTTATTTTCCCACTGTCGTAACGTTTTCCGTGCCATTTTTTTAAATATGTACTTTCATAGGAATTGTTCAGATAAACTTTCTCTCTGGTACTTAGAAATGATAAATTTAACCTCAGTACTAGATTGGCGGCAAGGTCTTCTAATTTTACAGTAAAAAATGTGTCTAAATATTAGTGTAAATTCTATGCTAACAGTTTCTTCTCTCACATTTCTCGCTTGTGGAACTCTCTTTCGGTTTCTTGATCTGCAGTCATGTCTGATCTCCACAAATTTAAATGCAATGTCAGTCGTTATCTTTTATCTTAATTCATGATTTTTTTTATTGTTATCTTCCTTTAATAGTGTTTTATTTTTCCCATTTAGTAACTGCCTTGCGTCTTAGTGTCTTTATTGCCTTGCTTAGGGTGAAATGATTAAAAAAAAATGTAACATAAAAAGTATTTTTGTATTATTTAAGAAGTCTTAATACTGACAATTATTTCAGATAAACGCATATCTGATAACGCGAATAGTGCGAAACTGTATACAGTACTTCCCCGATTATCCGGACACCTTGGGACGTTGACGGAAAAAAAAACATATAAATAACTGAGAGAAATAGAGATATGAGTCATTTTCTGAAAGAAATATGACACTTATATCATCAAATAATATTTTGAAACGCTTTCTTCAAGATTGTGTCCAGTTTAGTTTTTATGGAGCGCGAGCTTTCTTCATTACGTGGAAGATCACGGCCCTCCACAACTTTCTATCCTTCGTAGTTCTAAAAAGAATTTGTCCCTTTTTTCCTTCCTAGCCACTCATTTACTCAAACTTGTTAGGCAGGATATTCGCTGTTTCTTCCTGCGCATCTTGTCTTCAATATATCCTGTGAGAGTCCAAATCTCCATGTCGACTTTGCTGGCCACTTACATTGAGTCGACTCATCCATATTCCTTTCGCATTCCATTGGTGAGGCTCAATTTGCTGTTAGTTTTTTCACTAGATCTGTTGAATTGTGGAACGTGCTCCCGAGAGGATGCTTCTGTGATTACTGTAATTACTATTTTTATGACTGATGTTCTGGCTAACATTTCTGGGTCCCAGATATAGAACCAAGAAATGATTACTTACATGAGTCGACTCATAATGGGACCTTCATATTTTATTGATGCGGAGGAATTTGCATTCAGTATCTTCTCCAGATCTGTTGAATCGTAGAACAGACTTCTTCTTCCATTATTACAATCTTAATCTCCGCAAGTTTAAAATCAACCGTTATCTATCCTATCTAGTCTCATTATATGCAACAATCGCTCTCGAGTTTACAATCTTACAACAATATCATTTATTAAGCCTCTACCATGGGTTCTTTCTTTAGATTTAGATTGGCTGAATATTAGTAAAGAAATCTTTCCCAAGAAGTCATAGAATCTGTGATGAACCGTGATCGTCAACGTTCTGAGGTTTCGTCTCGCTTCACGTTTTTCTATCGTTAACACCCGAAGTTTATAAAATCACTTTATTCGTAAGGTTAACTTCTGGCCGAAAACGCAACCAACTTAATCATTATTGTTGTAATGGGATGTCCAACTCCCCCCTTTGAAAGCTTTTGTCCAGCGATTTAAAAATCCTTTTATTATAACCTCCTTATAATAAAAATGTAATTATATATTTTGCTGTACTTTGTATTGAAAACTTTTCTTTTTAAAGTAAATCCTTCGGACTGTGAATTTATAATCCATTTGTTCTTTCTCTCATTAGGATATATATTTATATAAGACATTTTTATGTTTAACATTCTTTTTTATAGATACAAATATTTAAGTAAATGCTCTGTTTTTATAATAAACAGTATTAAACAACATTTACCGGCCTGAATGTCCGAGAAATTTTCATAGAAAATTTTCGTCCTCCGACAGGAATCGAACCTGTATCCTATACGGAACAGTCATATAGCCTGACGTGCCTTAACCGTTTAGGCCACAGAGGAGCGTTCGGTTAGCAAGATCGATTTTACTGTCTTTAAGCTTCAATCTTCATTCAGGTTGGTAAATGTTGTTTCATACTGTTTATTATAAAAACAGAGTATTTACTTAAATATGTATAAAAAGAATGTCAAACATAAATATGTCTTAAAAATAATTGTCGGACTTTGTCCATTTCACACACACACACACACACACAGATATATATATATATATATATATATATATATATATATATATATATAATATATATACAGTGTAACCCGGATATAAGAGACCCGGATATAAGAGAAACCCGGATATATGAGAGATTTTTTCTGGTCCCAAATTAGAGCCTGTGTTAATGTACATAAAATAGACCAAACCCGGATATAGGAGAAACCCGGATATAAGAGACTTCTTCTCCGGTACCGACAACTCTCTTATATCCGGGGGACACTGTATATATATATATATATATATTGTGTGTATTTAGGCAGCATATTTTCATTTATACACGTTTCATTAAATAATATAGACAAGTGTTGTCTATTTATTTTATGTAAAATTTTTTCGTATCTTCTGATAAGTTTAGTAACATTATCATTAACCGAAAAAAGAAATTCACAATATTTATCCATTATTTTTTAATAAAATCTGAGCTTCAGATTTATTGGTAATTTCCGTGAGTCTATGTGTAATTTCCTCCAGTTGGTCCGGGGTAGTTATATCCTGTAGTTCATCGTAAATGTCCTGTTTTTTGCTGTTAAAGTTGTTTAATTTTTCCTTGGAGATTTCGATTTGCCTTTTCACAAGGCTACATTTGTAATTCCAAGTATTAATAGTATTGTGGGCTGCTGGATCATGGAATTTAAATTGTGTGTATTTAGGCAGCATATTTTCATTTATACACGTTTCATTAAATAATATAGACAAGTGTTGTCTATTTAAACAACTTTAACAACTTTAACAGCAAAAAACATTATTTAAACAACTTTAACAGCAAAAAACAGGACATTTACGATGAACTACAGGATATAACTACCCCGGACCAACTGAGGAAATTACACATAGACTCACGGAAATTACCAATAAATCTGAAGCTCAGATTTTATTAAAAATAATGGATAAATATTGTGAATTTTTTTTCGGTTAATGATAATGTTACTAAACTTATCAGAAGATACGAAAATTTTTACATAAAATAAATAGACAACACTTGTCTATATTATTTAATGAAACGTGTATAAATATATATATATATATATATATATATATATATATATATATATATATATATATGTGTGATGGCTACATTAAAGTTTTCTTTTCTCTTTTTGCTGACACATTCCGTATTATCGAATTCATGAACATAGTGTTTTCACAGATGTTCAAGATTTCTAACTATACGCATCAACGCCTTTTCTGCAATACTTGGTGACAAATTGTTTTTTTTTTCTTAATTCTCTTATCTCCATGATAGTTAGAAGATAATTTACATGTTAGCCGGCCGGGTGCATTCTAACTTTACAACATTCGTTAAAAATAATAATAATAATAATAAACTCTTTTTGGTATGATTTTACTACTTAAGAGCCATTTGGCAAGGCACTTATTTCCAGATGAATATACATTAGCTGCCATTCTGAACGTCTGAGAATCGTCCTGACGAGTAATTCCAATCGACAACCACTCAGATAAAATCAGTATAGCTTTTAAAATCACTCGTATAAATATGTCAAACACAGCGAGCAACAAAATTGATTTGCAAGTGGAAATAAAACAAAAAAAAAAATGAGCCATAGTTTTTTTTGTTTGTTTTAAATGTGACTCGACAATGATGATATTGAGGAAGACAACGTTGCTGTGTAAAAATTTACCAAACGTTTTCGTACGACTCCGACGTCTACTCTCCGTACACATCAATCCACACACACACACACACACACACACACACACACACACACACACAAAAAAAAAAAAAAAAAATTTCGTGATCGTATTCTCCTTTGTGCCGTGCCACTCAGGACGCAGGCGATCATTCACTAGTCGAATGCATCTTCGGATTTCAGTGTCACATTTTTCATCGTCTGTTGTAAAACTTTCCCGATAGCTTTCTACGCTTGCTGTGGTAATAAAACAAGCTCATCTCATCTCCCTTCTCGGCATATAAATTCTGTTAACCATGTTCACTATAGTCTATGAATATAGAATACAGCGCAGTACGTAATCTGTTCAATGAACAACGTTAAATATTAATACTCACGAGTCAGACACTCTACCGAATCCGCCTGTATCACCAATACCTCTAGCAGCTGTTCTGTAATTCTTCAGTCTTCGATATCAAAGGCTGGCTGTCAGTGAATATTCGGGGAAAAACATGGCTGCCTATATACACGCCGCATTGAATGTTTTCAACCTTCTGATTGGTTAAACCTTCTATTGGTGAACTATAAAATGAGTCAGCTCATTTTGGCTGGCTCACTAGTAATACCCAAAATTTTCAACAAATTCATCACAATAAAATAAACGTTTTCCAGCGCTAAAGCTGAATTAGACAAATAAAGCTACATAAGCTTCTACTTAGAGTTGTTGCTATATGGCAATTGCTATATGTTGACGTCTCCAATTTGTAACTCGCGTCTTAGGCTTTCTATTTTCCTAATGCCCATACGTCCAGTATCACTGACTGAACATTTATCTACTGATTTAGGAAACTTTTTCTCTGCTTTCGAATATCTTAAATATGGACTTGACTTCCTAAAAACAAGACCAGATTGTTCGAATGTCATGACAGTTCACAAAATCAATATATGTTTCAATGAGGTGTGTAGAAAGACGGAGAGAATTTGTGAGGGAGCTTCAGAGAAAGAGAAAGAGAGAGAGAGAGAGAGAGAGAGAGAGGGAGAGAGAGAGAGAGTAAAATCCATACAGTTTTGTCAATAAATAAAATCAAATAAATAAACACACACCTGACACTTAAATAGAAAGAGAAAGAATTAAAAAAAATCTGGAACTGAAGACTTGTAAAAATTTCATCCATGGAAATTCGAAATCAATGAAATAATGTAGTTATTTTATCAAATTGAATATTTCTGTATTTAGAAATAAAAATAAAACAAAACTATACATCTTAAAAAAACAAAAAAAAAACTCGTTTTAAACATGTCTGTTAAGAAACTAAATTACAGTAATTGAAAAGAATTTTAAATGTGATAAACATTAGTTTAGTGACCTGTATATAAAAAAGTATGTTAGTTGCAATTGTAAAGTTTAGGTACGATTTTAAAAAGGAACCGTATCTCTTCGAGACGTAGCTGATCACGACTCTCTGCATATTCCTTTTATTCATTATCTAATAATTGATATGCAGTTTTAGGAAAGATAGTGGACTGCTTTCCCCTTTGCCTGATCCACGGTTTGAAGTCAATGTTTTTCAAGTCAATTTCATCCACAAAACGTAAGTTTTTGGTCTGCCACTGATAGAGATTGAAGGATCATAGCCGTTCAAGATTTCTTGCATGATTCTCTCTAGAAATAGATTGAACAATGTGGGTGAAAGTACGCATCCCTGTCGCGCACCGACAGTTGTCCGGAAGAATCCTCTCATTTGTTTTCCCAGAAGAACTGCGCTGGTGACAACTTTATATAGGGCCTGGATGACTTGGATTTCATTATCTATATTGAATTCCCGAAGAACTTGCCAAAGACCGTCATGCCATACACGATCAAATGCTTTCTTGAAATCAACAAAGTTCAGGTGTTTCTCTGCGAGGGTCCTATAAGTGAAGACCTGTTCCTATGTATTCATCCGGTTCTAAAAACCTGTTTGTTCCTCTGATAGCAGTTCTTCAGTTTGGGATTTCAAACGATCCAAAATGATACGGAGCAGGGTTTTAATAGGATGGCTGATCAGGCTTTTTGTTCTATAATCTAGAAGCTGTCTTTTGCTTCCTTTCTTTGGCAGACTTTCTTTGGCAGACAATGACTGCGTTCACTCGTTAGGCCACTTTTTGTCCCCAAATCTTCTGGTGTAGTGCTTTTATGACTTTAATGGTTTCTTCACTTTCATGATTTATCAGCGCAGATGGAATATGAATTACCAGGTTTCAATCTCTTTGTTATGCTGTGGCGAACAATTTTTTTTCCTTCCACCAAATGAGTTCGAATCGCTCGTCGCCACTGTTATGGTCCGGTTCCTTGTACCCCGGGTGATGATCCAAGGTAGAACCAATGAAGAAGAACTCGAACACGGATATGGAATAACGCAGATATATTACAAACAGGAATATATACAGAGAATTAGGAAGTGTTAGTACGAACAATCAGGTTTAGTAGTAATTGTCTGAACGCGACTCTGTTTCGGACTGCCTCTGACTCGACTGACTGACTCGCTCGCTCTGACTGAATGACAGACTCCTGACGAACCTCACTCTAGACTTAAGACTGAACTCCCTGCTTCCTCTTGAGGCGCAGTATTTATTACGTATGGAATAGTCCATTATGTTATTATGGGTAAGGTCCCGTGACACTCTTTACTTAATTCAAACTCTTCTTTCAGTATTGATGAACTGGTCTCGTCTTCTTCTATGGAGTGATTTTGCAATATGGAGGCATCTGGATGGAGCTGGTAATTGTTTAAACTATCACAGTACTGAGTCCATCTATGGAGAACCTTCTAACTGTCCATATACAATTTATCATTCTCATCCTCTAAAACCATTGCTCTCTGTTGGTTGGTCTTAGTGATCGATCTGAGAGTATTGTAACCCTGTTTGTTATTGCCAGTGAGCTAATCCTTCTTTGAACTTGTTTTTTATCCACTCCTCTTTAGCTGCTCGCATTTTTCTCCTCACGTCACTGAGCACTGGGCATAGACATCGCAAATTAAGTGCTTTTTTCCTCTCAGTTCTCTCCTCTTGTCACACAAATTCAAGAATTCGTTCGTGAACCACGTTTCGACATTTACCCAAAACTTCTTCAGCTGTTGTGAGTAACACTTCCTTTCTGCAAAATTGTCTACATCACTATTAATTAGGTTCAGGATTGGAAACTTACTGCCAACTTTGATCTAAATCATTTAAGTGACTTCAGAGTCTTTAAGTTTTTCAAGGTCGAAGCGGATGCGAGAGTTCTTTGGATTGCGCTTAGTTTTCAGAATTCATTTAAAAGTCGTCATCACAAGATCACTGCCGATGTCTGCGCCAGGAAATAGCTTTGTGTTTACATTGTTAATACTACATTTATAACGCTGCGGAAACAAAATAAAATCGGTTATGGATCTTCCCATTAGGAGAGTGCCGGGTTGCGGTCCGAGGTGCAGAGTGTTGGCTAGGGTGAAATGATAACTTCTGCTAAATTCGTGTAGTCTGAGACCACTGTCGTTCGTCTCCCCAATGCCAAATCTCCCGACTCTTCCTGCCCAGTTTGTGTACGCATCCAGTCCTGCCTTGGCATTTCAATTCCCTCGTATGACGATGATGGTGTCTTTCCGGGGGACTTTTCTCAAGGTAAATTCTAATAAATTGTAGAATTCCTCATCTTCCTCGTCATCGTGCTCTAATCTTGGAGTATAGGCCTGGATGATAGTACGTCGGATGCTCTGGCTGATACACGGATGGAAATAAGTCTGCTGGGAATAGGATAAACGCTGATGACACTGTGTGTAATTTCTTTCCTTGCAAGAAGTGCCACTCCATGTTGGTGCTTCTGATCTCCAGAAAACCAATTTTTATGTTCATCTTGCGTAGTTGTTTCGCCAAATCCAATCCATCTGACTTTAGACATCCCAATGATGTTCCAGTGATAAAGTTTCAGTTTATGGTTAACTTCTTGGATTCTCCGGGGGCGTATATGGTGCGAATGTTCCAGGTTCCTGTTGTAAATCTTTCCGCTGATAACCTGATACTATGTTTCGCAGTAGCCGACATATCACGCCCATCCTGAAGTGAATCAAAGGGACGCGCGGTCGTTGTTAATCCGGGCCATGACCGATCCGAAAGTTGCTTCATAATCCTTTCGGTGGGCTTGTAGATAACTTGGTGGCACTCATTTCCTCTCCAATATTAACATGTTAATATTAATTTTCATAAAGTGTGGATAAGCAGTATTTTATACAGCTTATCAACCATTTATAGATATTTTAATCAATTGTTTTTTTTATTTTTAATCAATTGATTTTTTTGTACCAAATAAAAAAAAAACACATAACTTGAGAACTTCCAACAGCAGCAACAACTAAAATGGCTAGCACATGTAACTCGAAGAGAAAATAATGACATAATTCAAGATATTGAAGTTTCACACTACTCCAAATAAAAGTTTAGGAATGAAACCCCCATCAATCACAGAAAAAGTGATTGGTTGATTGATTTTGTCCAACGACATATCCTCATAATCATCATCCTCATCATCCCATTTACTTTTGTAATCGTAGGTCGGATCCGAATGCAGAAGCCACACTAACTCTTTTCCACAATTGTCTAAATCGATGAGACGCGCGGTCGTTAATCCGGGCCTCGACCGATCCGACATAGTTATATTTTGCTTCTCTTGCTTCATAATCATTTCAGTGGGCTTGTAGATAACTTGGCGGTGCCCATCTCCTCTTGGCCGACAGCTGACACCATTAGTATGATGCGGATCGGCTTCGGTCTGTGCACTTGGTCGGTGAGCCCATTGTCCAACCGTTGTCCGCTTGTACAGATCATCTACCTAATAGTGTAGTGTAAAAACTACCCTTTCACGTGGTTTGACCCCCACCCTGCTTAAGCGGTTTACAGCGGTGTGACGCGTGGATACAACACGTGAGAGATGTAGGGGATGGGTGAAAACCAGCGTTGCTGTTCACCTTAATAATAATAAGTTGCAGCAGCCAAGCAACAAAGCTATTGCTACTACCCACTTCACCCTACACGCATAATATATATATATATATATATATATATATATATATATATATAATATATATATATAACACTAGTTGTTGGAGTAAACAGTTCGTCATCAAATGTACCAAATGTATTGCTATATATACTTTTAAAATAATTATACTAAAAAATGTAAATAAATAAAGAAGAATAAAAGTATAAAATTATCATCAAAGATAAAATAGAACAAATTGACTAGTAGTAAATGAAACAAATTAACGTTAAAACTGGAAACGCTTTTCCAACAAATTTGAAAATACGTTACTTTACAAATAATAAATGAGAAAAGGATAAAGGAATAAAATGAAGGCCAAACGTTGTTTAAAATGTTTGAATTATAAATGATAGATAAAGGAATCGACGATACTGAACCAATAGTCAAAGATAAACAAAATAAGCATTACAACTCAAAATGCCTTCCTACAATTTTGAAAATTACTTCCACTTTCGTAAAAAAAAGAGACAATATTACGCTTAAGTATAAACAGATTAGAATTATTCATGTCACTATATAAGAAATTTAACAAATACAATGCATTAAATATTCTTAATATGATAACTCTTAGCCAGATATTCTTAATAAATGACACTTGCTAAATTACACTTATTTTAAAATAAAAAATCGATGTAGACGACTTATCTTAAAAATAAACAAATATATATATATATATATAAAAGATTATAAAAATTTGTATATTAAATAATATAAATTCATAATAACATAAATAATATAATATAATAAACAAAGAAATATATAAGAATAAATGTATAATAAAACCAAACAAGACTTTCCTTTAAAATACGGCATTATTTTCTTTGGGCAATCATTAAAAAGAACGTCTGTTCGCTCAGGCATCAGCGTCGGTGTGTAAATGAAAGCAAAGACCGAAACTATATTTAAAATATAAGAATGTCTTATATGGAATGTAAGTGGTTTACATCTCTCTATATATGAACAATTTGGACGCGTGGCCAGGTTGATAGAATACTCTTTTTTTGGC